AGTTATTCTTAATTATTTTCGGTTTTGGAAAAGTGCCAACACTTTCTTATTTTGCTCATAACTCACTAGCCGTTAATTCTGCTGATATGCCGTTTAAAGATTCTTAATGTTCAATTAAAGGGCTACACACTGGCATAAGAATCGCTAATCGCACCTCACATTTACTAAGAGTTCCGCTCATTTCCGCTTCTCAAATAAATAAATATAACTCGGTTACGGTTAATGATACGGGTATCCCGTTTTAAGAATATTAAAGCACAAATTGAATACTAAATAATTGCCAAGTTTCGAAAGTTATTCTTAATTATTTTCGGTTTTGGAAAAGTGCCAACACTTTCTTATTTTGCTCATAACTCACTAGCCGTTAATTCTGCTGATAAGCCGTTTATATATTCTTAATGTTCTATTAAAGGGCTACACATTGGCATAAGTATCTCTAATTGCACCTCACTTTTTATAAATAATTCCGCCTACTTCATTTTCCACAGATAAATAAATATTATTCGCTTGCGGTTAATGATACGGATATCCCGTATTTAGAATATTAAAGCACAAATTGTAAACTAATTAATTGCCAAGTTTCAAAAGGTAATCTAATTTATTTTCGGTTTTGGCAAAGTGCCAACACTTTCTTATTTTGCTCATAACTCACTAGCCGTTAATTCTGCGGATAAGCCGTTTATAGATTCTTAATGTTCTATTAAAGGGCTACACATTGGCATAAGTATCTCTAATTGCACCTCACTTTTTATAAATAATTCCGCCTACTTCATTTTCCTCAGATAAATAAATATTATTCGCTTGCGGTTAATGATACGGATATCCCGTATTTAGAATATTAAAGCACAAATTGTAAACTAATTAATTGCCAAGTTTCAAAAGGTAATCTAATTTATTTTCGGTTTTGGCAAAGTGCCAACACTTTCTTATTTTGCTCATATCTCACTAGCCGTTAATTCTGCTGATATGCCGTTTAAAGATTCTTAATGTTCAATTAAAGGGCTACACATTGGCATAAGTATCTCTAATAGCACCTCACATTTTATAAATAATTCCGCTTACTTCATTTTCCTCAGATAAATAAATATTATTCGCTTGCGGTTAATGATACGGATATCCCGTATTTAGAATATTAAAGCACAAATTGTAAACTAATTAATTGCCAAGTTTCAAAAGGTAATCTAATTTATTTTCGGTTTTGGCAAAGTGCCAACACTTTCTTATTTTGCTCATAACTCACTAGCCGTTAATTCTGCTGATATTTAAAGATTCTTAATGTTCAATTAAAGGGCTACACACTGGCATAAGAATCGCTAATTGCACCTCACATTTACTAAGAGTTCCGCTCATTTCCGCTTCTCAAATAAATAAATATAACTCGGTTACGGTTAATGATACGGATATCCCGTTTTAAGAATATTAAAGCACAAATTGAATACTAAATAATTGCCAAGTTTCGAAAGTTATTCTTAATTATTTTCGGTTTTGGCAAAGTGCCAACACTTTCTTATTTTGCTCATAACTCACTAGCCGTTAATTCTGCTGATAAGCCGTTTATAGATTCTTAATGTTCTATTAAAGGGCTACACATTGGCATAAGTATCTCTAATTGCACCTCACTTTTTATAAATAATTCTGCCTACTTCATTTTCCTCAGATAAATAAATATTATTCGCTTGCGGTTAATGAACGGATATCCCGTATTTAGAATATTAAAACACAAATTGTAAACTAATTAATTGCCAAGTTTCAAAAGGTAATCTAATTTATTTTCGGTTTTGGCAAAGTGCCAACACTTTCTTATTTTGCTCATAACTCACTAGCCGTTAATTCTGCTGATATGCCGTTTAAAGATTCTTAATGTTCAATTAAAGGGCTACACACTGGCATAAGAATCGCTAATTGCACCTCACATTTACTAAGAGTTCCGCTCATTTCCGCTTCTCAAATAAATAAATATAACTCGGTTACGGTTAATGATACGGATATCCCGTTTTAAGAATATTAAAGCACAAATTGAATACTAAATAATTGCCAAGTTTCGAAAGTTATTCTTAATTATTTTCGGTTTTGGCAAAGTGCCAACACTTTCTTATTTTGCTCATAACTCACTAGCCGTTAATTCTGCTGATAAGCCGTTTATAGATTCTTAATGTTCTATTAAAGGGCTACACATTGGCATAAGTATCTCTAATTGCACCTCACTTTTTATAAATAATTCCGCATACTTCATTTTCCTCAGATAAATAAATATTATTCGCTTGCGGTTAATGATACGGATATCCCGTATTTAGAATATTAAAGCACAAATTGTAAACTAATTAATTGCCAAGTTTCAAAAGGTAATCTAATTTATTTTCGGTTTTGGAAAAGTGCCAACACTTTCTTATTTTGCTCATAACTCACGAACGGTTCATTCTGTTGATGTCCAGATAGAAGTGCAATTAGGTGCAATTAAGGCTCTAAATAATGGCATAATTTTTTTTAATTGCACCTCAAGTCGTTCTGCCAACTTCACGTTTTTTAAATAGGTATAGCTCGGTTACGGTTATACATACGGATATCCGGGTTTGAGAATATTGAAGAGCAAATCATATACTACATTATTGTTAAGTTTCAAAAAAGAATCTCTTTTATTTTCGGTTTTGGCAAAATGCCAACACTTTCTTATTTTGCTCATAACTCACGAACGGTTCATTCTGCTGATGTCCGGATAGAAGTGCAATTAGGTGCAATTAAGACTCTAAATAATGGCGTAACTTTTGTTAATTGCACCTCAAGTCGTTCTGCCAGCATCAAAATTTCACACTTTCCTTATTTTGCTCATAACTCACGAACGGTTCATTCTGCTGATGTTCGGATAGAAGTGCAATTAGGTGCAATTAAGACTCTAAATAATGGCATAATTTTTGTCAATTGCACCGCAAGTCGTTCTGCCAATTTCACGGACCTTAATAAAGCATAAATTTTATTTTAAAAGTGTTCCAATGAATTTATAATTTTAATTAAAAAATATTTGACGCCGCTACGCCGCCACCGATTTTTGTGGCAGAGTCTAAATCGATTCGCCGCCGCCAGCCTATCATTTTAAAAAAGAAACGCCGCCGCCGATAATACTATCAGCGCACATGTCTAACTAGAAGATATAGATTCAAGTTTCGCTGAGTTTTTTTAAAATGCATTATGTACATAAGATATACAAATAACGTTCACATCCTAACAACAATTTTAGATGTAAGGTATAAACCTTATTTGCAACTTTCTCACACCCTCATTTTAAAAATAGATATGTAAGTATCGAGGGAAAAAATATTTGCCATCTGCTTTTTTATTTCACCTCTCTTAACTCAAAAAGAAAATCAGGTAATACCACGCGAATATTCTATCCCTTATATTGTAAAAGTTTTGAAAAATTCTATACAATGTTAATACTTCAACAATGTAGCTAGAAATACTAAATTATTTAAATGATGAGGTCAAAGATATATAGCAACGATAAATAATTTAAAGAAATTTTTAAAATATATTTCTACTTTGCCCGTTCTGTTCGGGTAGAAAGATTATTCAGTTTTGATTTGATTAATAGGCAGATTCAAATGGTATTTAATTTAAAACCTTATCATGTGATTATTTGAATTTTTTTGTTTACTTTTTGCAAAAGTATTTATTTGTGCAATATGTATTCATAAGTATTAAAATACTTTTTTAGTTAAAAAACTCTTTCCTGAAGTGTATTTGTATTTATATTCGAATACATTTTTTTGATAATTTGCCCAACCTTCTTATACCCAGTTTTTAATAAGCCCGATGGAAAATGCTTAAAATTATTAACAAGTCAATCAGCAGGTCGTGTTGATCTTATACAATTTTATCATTTTCATAAATTAAACTTTATATCATCTTTTTTGAAAAAATATGTCTCTAGCCCAGTAGTATCACTATGGAGGGGCACAGTGGGTCAAGCCTCTTTAAAATTTATAAAATGCGAGCTTAAAAAAGAAGCTATTTTAAAAAAATTATTAGCTAAAAAGGGTCATTTTCAAAAATGATAACAAAAAATGCTTATAAGGCTAGACCTAATCTGGATATTTAAAATATCTATTTTCTTTCAAAGACATAAAATTTAAGTACTTTGAAAATGAATAGAATAAATGTATTTTTTGAAATTTTATCTTGTTTTTGAATTATGTACAAAAATCTAATAAAAATCAAGTGATATTTTAGAAAAACTTAAAAATAATAACGTCCAAATAATTAAAAATGAAAGCATGAAAAAAACTGTACATATTTTGCGCCATTATGTTATGACTATCAAATGCTAGGATTTTGTGGTGCATCTGTTATATAAAAAGGGTTAAATAAATAGGAATATTTAGTAAATTATGGATTATTAAGAGTTGATTGCAGGCTGCATTAATTTGTTTTGCTTTTGATATTTTATTGAAAATTTGGCTCATCATTTATGTTATTAAAATGATAAAATACTAGTTTACAATTATGCTAAAGAAAGAAAAAATATTTAAGTTTTAATTTTATAATATCTAAAAAAATATATTAATTTCCCATGAAGCTAAACTATACCCAGTACGTCGCTCACGTCCTTTTAGGGTTTAAAGATAATAGTTACCGACAAAAAGAAGAGCCATAAAATATTTATAATATTCTTATCCAAAACGAAATTTATTTATTACTACATAGTTACTACCCAAAAGGTAAAACGCATATAATCCCCAACATTGAAACTTAAATATCATCTATTATTCTTTTATAGATAACTTAATTGCTTTACTTAAATAACTAACTTAATTTTTATATATAAACGGCAATCATGTTTTAATCCAAATTTTTGAGTATATATTATCATCAGCAAGACTCAATAAATTAAAATAATTGGCCACAACAATAACATTACAATAATCATATAATATATAATAAAATAAATATCCTGAAAACAACAAATTCATATAACTTTCATTTTTCAAATATTATACTCTCTCTTTTTCCTTAAACACGCTAAAAGTTATTAATAAAGTCCTCATCTATTTTGCATATATCTTCGTAAGCCATTTTGAGCTGAATTAAGTTATTTTTATTGCTCGAATATTTAGCGACAATATTCTCGTCATTTTCACGGTATGAAGAATGTCTTCTTTTTCTACTGGAATTTGATATTATTTCAATGATTACAGAAAAACTTGCTTCATCTATGCCATTCATTATGCCTATTTGACCGCGATAAGGACCTTTTAGCACCATAATTTTTCTACCTATATTTGGGATGACGGTTACTATAGTTGTTGACTGGGGAAACTTATCTGGTTTCCAAAATATAATAAAAAGAATTATTTTAATAAATACTAGATATAACATATAAAAATTATGATTTAAAAATAAGAAAGTTAGATTCCTAATTCCTTTAAATAAAAATTTTATAATAAATAAACTTTGATACTGTTAATATTCATCTATATCTTAAACATATCTTATATGCCATTCGCCCACTATTTAATTAACATATGTGCAAATTGTTATATCATAATATAATTTATTATTGAATTACCTCCATTTAAACTTTCCCTTAATTCAATTTGTTCTTCCATTTCTTTCCCCTTTTTTGGGTCTGCAATTTTGATATTTGTAACATAAAATCTGACTCCATCTTTTTCAATATATTTATAATCAGCCGATTTAACCAAAATTTTCCTAGCCTCCCCATTGGTCGTCGCTTTAACGATACATCCTGCTATCAGCCAATCAAATACAGATACAAAATTACGACATCTCGTATTGGTGGGATCCGGTTTATAAAGTTTGGGGAAGCGGGCTTGAGAATCGCTATTTAGCGACTTTTGCCCCTTTTTTTTAATTTCCGTACTCTTTTTGAATAATGGGCATATGTTTTTATTTATGATGGACGTACTTACATGGGAATCGATAGTTGTGATATTATTCGATGATTTTGTAGAGTTGACAGCTATAATAAAATAATTTTGTATAATAGCAAGACTTGAAGGGACTTATATAACCAAGTTGACCAGATTAGGTAAAAAGAAAAATATTCTTTTAACCAACATTTATTATGAAATGAAACCATATGAACCAACACTGAATATTTTAAGTAGAAATGTCCTGGAATAAGGATGCGGATAAATATACCCCAATTTTATTAAATACTTATAAAAAAACAAAGCTTTTTAATGATTATTAATTTTTTCACGTATAGGTGCCAATCTTCACTAAAAAATATTAGGCTTAGGAGGGGGTTATAGCAGATTTGCATGTTTTCGAATAACATTAAGTTTATAAAAATTAACCCTCCCCCCATACACCCCCCCCCCCCTCAAAAATGTATAAATTATATCACTATAAAATGAACTTGAAAGAAAAATTAGAAAATAAAAATTTTTAAAATAATGAATATAATTCAAAATTTTTATAAAAAAATAAGTGGAAACCAAAAATTATTATGTTTTAAGCGATATAAAATAAACGGCAGGACATTCGATTCCCAGTTGGAAGACAAACTCCCGATTTTTTATTCTTATTTACGCTAAAATACGCTATCTATTAATTTATACTTTCTCCAATTTTTTCATGAAATAAATGGGCTTTTTCAAGATTTATTATAAAACATAAAATCCTTGAAATAATTAATCTAACCAGAAACGTATACTATGATTTATATTTTAATTCTCAATCATACATTTAAAAGGGCATCTTGTTTATGGTAATGTTATTCTCCTTTTCATTTTTAAAAAAGAAGGAACACAATATTTAATATCTTATAATTTTAAAACGAAATATAATAAATCACATTCTTGTTAAGTCTTCTAATTCTGAAAAGGAATCTTATTTGAATGAGAAATAAAGTTTTTAAAATTTTTAAAATCCAATTTATATAAAATGATATAAGAAGTTTAATACAGTTAATGATTTTTGAATAGTTAAATTAAATTTTCTCTTAGTGTAATATTTATTTTCGATTCTATTTTTATTCCATTCATTTAAAAGGAAAAGTACAACATCCAATAACTTTAAACGCAATACCTAGAAACCCATCATTCTTGGATTAGAGAATATAAACAAAATAGTTCAAATGCATTTTGTATAATATACAATATAAAATTTAATATCAGTCAGGGAGGCGCCTATGATGCTAAAAAACATTCAAAACAAACATATATAAACTAAAAAAATAAGAAATCATTAAAAAAATAAGAAATCATAAAAAATATCAATCTATACTTTAAAAACAATAATTTACGCAGAGTTGTCAAGTCGGTTAAATTCAGTCAATTGACCGGATGAGTCAAATACGGTCAAAGACTCTAAAAAATCTGAAAAATACAAATACGTTTGAAAAAAGAAAAAAACGATATAAATACATGTGACCACAATTCTGATTAATTATTGAGTCCCTAATATCTAGGGGCGCAATTCACTAGTAGTGAAATCAATGAATTATGTGATACAATACAATAACTAGGCAATTTACAAGTTGATATCGTGATATCATAAATTTCAGAAGTAAAGGCATGTTTAATAGCAAATTATGTGGGAAGCAGCAACTTTTATAAGAAACAATCAGATTTCGGCCTCAAGTTAGTAGAATGAACTTTGTCCACCATACCCATTTAGAGAAGTGTCATTTTATTAACAATTCCTAGCTCGACTTCTTCTTGAGAGAGAATTGGTCTATTTAAATAAATATACTTACTAAAACAGAAATCGATTGAAGATCTTGACAAAATTAAAATTGATTAAAAAATATTAAAGAAAATTATAATATTGAATATGAATCAGAATCTGCCATGGAGAGCTACACATTAGTTATTGAATAATGAATTTAAAAATATAAAATTAATATTATAGATTCATTTTACTATTATATACAAAATAAAGTTAATGGACTTAAAAAAACATGACGGGTCAAATACATAATTCTAAATATAAGTGATGATAATACTTCAATATACAAAGAGAAATTCATTCATTTATTAATCTATAGATTGCATTGCAAGCTTATTTCCTATTCTCCTTCCAGATTTAAAATAGTCAAAAACATAAAATGTAGAAGAATAAAAGCCTTAAAAGTGCTGAATATCATAGGTCATGCGATTATGAGAGACATTTTAAAGGATTTGAAGGAAATATTTTATTATTTATTAATGGATGCCTTAAAAAAATTCGTCGAACTTTAAATCGGAGAATATTTAATTTATGCTTGTGAGGAACTTGATTTTAAAACAATTTAATAATTAGTAAAATCTTCTAAAAAAATATAAGATTTAATTTATGTAGTGATTTTTACAATTGTCTGCATATATATTTCTTATGTAAAAGCTTAATAAAATAATTTTTGAAATTCTGGTTTAATTCCTAGGCGGGATCCATTTTTCTGAGTCTAGGCAGCAACAGTTAGTTAAGAGTTAGAGATGATAGCTAGCCATTATGAATGTGGGGTTAAGGTTAATATTTTAAAGTAGGGTTTAATAAAATTTTGTCATTGTTTAGCAAATTAAACATATATAAAACTAAGATTTCTAACAATATTATCATATTTATCACTGCAAATATTTAATTTTTCGTATAGAACAAATGAAAAATTTCTTTAAAAAAATCCCCTTTTCTACGCAATTTTTTCCTAGGTATCTTTATGTCCAAGATATTTAGATCAGGTCCGGGATTCAAAAATTTCACATGATCCATTATTAAATATTTTTTGAAATGGGTCATTGCATTCATTCAAAAAAATATGATTTTTGGCTGACCCCCTTCAATTTTTATATTAACTATGGCTCGTATAATCTATACTGGCAATATTTTAGCCATCTAGCTTCATACCTTTGGAGTTATCTAAGGTCAAAGCATAAAAAATTATCTTTTTGCGAGTGTCTGCAATTATTAAATTAATAATTGATTTTGCCTAATAATAAATCTAGTATCAAAATAAAGCCTATATTTTAATTTTTAGAAAATAAAAGTATAAAACCAAAAAAATCATTTTTAATTTTCTAATCTCTTATTGCCAGAATAAAATAAAATCCTAAATAAGAAAATGAACACCTCCAATTTATATAAAATTATTTACCATTCTTTACGAGTGAATGAAAAAAATAGTGGGGCCTTTAATACTTCATATGCAAAATCGATAAAACTAGTAAAAAAATGAAAAAAATATTTTTATACTATAAATGGCGTTTTTTTAAAAATCTAATATTCTTAATAATGTTTCTATATGATTATTTGTATATAATAACTTATCTACGAAGTTCTTATCTATCAGAAAAAATATTTTTAAAAAATATATACCATATTTTTATTATGTATTTAAAGTAGGTTTTTATAATAATATTTATATTATAAAGTATTAATATAATCATGCATGTCACATAGCCCGATATATTCCGAATGTAATGCTTTCATTCCCATACACAAAATTTTCTATTGTAGTTTATTCGCACTCGAATACATTTATGATAATGTTCCAATTCCAAAGGGATCACTGCAAATAATTTTTACGTTCCTTGAATTGATTTTGCCTTCGAAAATCGCTGTTCAAAAATAACTTCCTTTGCATCATACTCGCCGTGTGCCACAAATTCATCGATACCGTTTATATTATATTTTTCATATTTATACAAATCGATTGGTGATGTTATTTGTAGAGGTAGGCGCGAACCTAAATTTTTATCAACAACCGGCCCGGTCACGGTGGCAATAAAAAAATTTCATGCCCTTTCACGCATACTACTAAAAAAAATTCGACCAGATCCGCCAGCTCATGAAAGACAATATTTTGATCACGTCCATCATCACGACCAAAAATTCACAGTGTTTTAAAATTTTTCAAAACGTTATTGCTATACTTTTACGTTTTTTGAATTTTTTCTATCAGTTTTTATTTCTCTAATTCAATATTAATAACACAAAATAATTACAATTTATAAATCAATTTTTATTTAGAAAAAGATGAATGTCCATGTTTTTTATTTCAATCGTGCTCGTCTTTCCACTAATAAGTGATCGGCTTTAAAAAATAACCTTTCAATAGAAGCCGAACTTAACTAATCTTCTCAAAAAAGGAAATTATTTTTCCTCTAAAACTAAAAATATTGTCATTGTAATTTGTTTTATGAGTGATAAATCTTTAAGATTCATCCTCACAACTTTCATCGATAAATGTTGAGGCTTTCTCAGAATCATCTAAAAATCTCGAAATGTTTCATTTAGAATATACAGTTTTTCAGGATGAATTAGAAAAGTTAAAATAATAGATTGCTTTGCATATCGTTGAATTTTAAATCGTTCAGCATTTTTAAGTTGTTTTATATGTATCTGCATTTTCATCGTTTGTTAAAAACTTAAGACGTTTGTAATTTAAATTTAAAATTAAGCCTATCTTATGTCGTGGCTGCATAATAAATCTTTCCTTTAAAAGAGATGTGTCCTGTTCTTTAGGGTTTTGATTACATCACCTTGTGAGGTTTGGTAAAATTTCATTAATTTTTGTTTCCAATAAACTTTATTTATAGTGGGATGAGAATCTGCCCTCAGAACCTGAGCAATCTTTGAATAATGATTAAAAAAATTATCTAACTGGCGTGTGATATAATGGCCGCTAATCTATTTACTTGTTTGTTAAGTAGGCAAACTTATATTTCTTCATATGATTTTAAGTAACTTTGTATCATGATATATACATAGTTCTATCTTTATTATATCTTAATGAAAAATTTTAGCTTGCTGTTTGCTGCAAATTGCTTAAAATAGTGCCTATCTTTTTTACACCTAATTAAAGTATTTCAGGTAAGTAATTTTCAAAATGTGTTATTTAATATATGACATGAAGGCATTCGTTCATCATCTTTGAATGCAGTTATATTCATTATATTTTAAATAGCATGCATAAGGCAATTGCATAAATTATCTTTTAGATTTATAGGTAAGTATAAGAAAATTTAAACAATAAGTTAAAATTTTGATTGGTTATAATTTGAGTGCAAATGATAAGTATATAATAAAGATAAATGAAAATAAAACATATTGAAATTAAATTTATTACCAAATTTCCAATGCTAAAGACCTTATATTATTTTTCAATCAATTAAAATTTTATAAGATGGGGAAAAAAAATATTGTTTATAAAATGCATAATTTTTTTTATTTTCAAAATTATTCCTTTTTCAAAAAGAATTAAATTAAGAAATATAATTTATAATTTAAGATTGCAAATTTATATTCATACAAAACAATTTTAAAAATTAAAATTTCCGTGATTCACGGGAAATTTATGTTCACAAAATTTTGGGAAGACCTGTCACGCCTACTAATTTAAAATTTATTCACACTCACGCCGTAACCCATCGTGTCACGCGTAATTCCACGGCCGCCAACCTCTAGTTACTTGATCAGCAAGGAATTTCTGTAAACTGGCTCTCAATGATAGTCTTTTCACTCTGCATCCAATACTGACACATGCACATCTTTCATGAATATGACTGAATGTCATTCTGCCGGAATGCCAAAATCTTTCGAGTGATGTTTTTCAATTTTTTACTAGGCTGCGGACCTGTCAGAAAAATAAAAAAATGGGAGTATCGTGTCAAATTTCTTTTAATAAAATTTTTATAATTTAAATACATAATAAAATGTGGTATATAATATAATATGAAGATAATTCTTCTGTTCGATAGGAACGTCGTAGATTAGTTATTTTATAGAAGTAATCATATAGAAACATTATTATGAATATTACGTTAATTAAAATAAAAAGCTATTTATAAGATAAAAAAATATTTTTCATTTTTTACTAGCTTTAATCGATTTTCCTAACAAGTCGTAGGCTCCAATCACACTAATATAAAATGGTAATAGTAATGTTTATTTAAATTATATAAAAATCTGAGATGCCCATTTTCCTTTAAGAGGATTTTAAATCTGGGAATAAGAGGTCTAGAAAATTTAAAAAATAATTTTTATTTTCTAATAAAAAGTTTCGGCTTTATTTTGATACCAGATTTATTATAAATAATTGTGCAATTTATAATCAATCATTAATATGATTACAGACATTACAAAAAAAGTACTATTTCATGCATTGGCCATAGATATCTGTAAAAGTATAAAAGCTAGGAGACTAAAATTTTGCCCAAATATAGATTATATTAACCTTAGTATGTATACGAATTTTTATCGAGGGGTGGGCCGAATCGTGAAAAATTTCAAATCTAACTTTTTCTTTAAAATATTTGAGGATGAAGTTTAACAAATTAATGCTCGAGAAGTAGCATGGGAATTAAAAATCCCGTTTTTAAAATCTAGTATTAGATTGAGCAATAGTTCAGTATGATTTTTATGCCATTTCCGATTTTAGGCGAAAATATGGTTTTATCCTCTATAAGAGCAACAATGTCCAACACTAGTCTAATAATTTTCTCCTAATTCTGATTTTTTTTAAAAAAGTTATTTTTTGTTATTAATAACATTGAACAACAAACGTTATATTAATGTTAATCTTCATTATTATAAATTAAAATTTACAAGATAATCCTAAAATTTTTGCTTCCAAAAAAAAAATAAACAAGAAGTTCTGGGTTTTAGATTTTATCCGGTTTCAAGGGTTCTAAGTTCAAAATGTTGTTAATAATTGTTGGGGAAAAAAATTTAAATGCTAATAAATCCGCTAAATTGAATCACAAAATTTTGATTCATATAGCTTATGAGTAGAATGATTATAAGCATTGGTGGGTAGGGCGAGGACTTAAAAGACTAATTTTTAAAAAATTCATTTTTTAGTTTTTGGAAAATGCTTTTCATTTTTAATATTTAAAAATAAAAAAATGATTCAAGTAGTAATTTGGGCAATATTGACTAAGACCCAAATTGCTTTAAACAATTCGAATAATGTAATTAGTGAAAAAAAAATACATTTTTTGAAAGAAATTTTTATCCTTTCTTCTTCTGTCTGAGGTTCTACTTCCCTGAGCAGTAAACCTAGTTTAGTCGTGTCATCTGGTGAATTTACATTTATATCAGTGCCATTGTTTACCTTTTAATGATTTTTTAGGGATATATATAATTAGAATATTTAATTAAGAAAAAGAAAATATTATCATTTTTACTCTTCATTTTATATTTTTTATACTTTCCTTTCTTGTCCTTGAATTATTTTTTTTGATTCGTTCTCAGTTCCTTAGCCGAATCTTTCCTTTCTTGTATGTGTTTAATTCCATAGCAAATCAACTGTAAATTTAACCCGACCCCCTTCGATTTTTTTAAAACTTGTATGATGGTAGTAACTAGTGTTGTTAAGGTAACTAGTTACAATATATTTTAAAAATTGTAACTATTAACTGTAACTAGTTATATTTTTACCAATGTAACTGGTAAAAGTAACTAGTTACTTTTAAAAATATATATATAAATCTAAATAATATATTCAAATAATTCATTTTATTTTTATTTTTAATATTATGCGATAAATTAATTTTAAAATTAAATTATTTTTTTTTAAATTGTGTAAATGTGACAGTTTGGAATTAGAAATAAATAAACTATTTTTTAATATTATATTTCTTTACAAAATATTCATATTATTTTCTTTAAAGTTTCTGGCAATATTTATACTCTGAAATTTATTAAGTAATGTATTTTTTTTTAATTTTACTATATTCATTTTTGCCTAATAAATTCTTAAATAAGTAGTGTTATTTTTTATTTCTTATATAGAAACAGAATACAATATGAATTCTGAGTCTGATTTATCATTTGATGAGGATGATATTGTAATGGTTCAGGATGATGTATAAATTATATATTCTCCTTCTACAAGAATTGCAAGAAAAATGGACCTTACTTGGCCAAGTTTTAAAAAATATTTTGAATTCCACAAGGAAAAGGATACAACTAATATTATTGTGAAATGTCTCGTTTGTCTTCCAAATAAAAAATATATTTCATCATCTAAGTCATCCACAGCTAATCTATGGAAGCATATCTCTGTAAGTTTAAACTTGTCTTAAATAGTTATAAATTTTAATATGTAACATGATTTTGCTTTACTTAATATTATATAGAATCATTAATTGAATTAACTTTATAAGATTTAATATTAATTAAATATTTATATATATTAACATATAAATCTATAGAGAAAGCACCATAACCAATCTATAAATATTAAACAAACCATAATTAATAAGAAAAATTCACCCACATCAAAATTAAAACAAACTCAAATTAACTTTGGTGGAACAAATACTAAAGTTATCAGCCAAGATAAATTTGATTCACAAATAATTAAATATATAATAAATGGAAATCATCCTTATTCAACCGGTGATGATGAAGATTTTATTGAGCTAATAAACACTCTGCAACCTAATATGAAGATTATATGCAGACAAACTTTAACTTTAGGAATATCTAATTATTTTGTAAAAATGAAGGATATTTTGATAGAAAAATTATTAGAGCCCAATTTTATTTGTACAACAGCTGTTGGACAGCATTTAATCGGTAAATATTATATTTATTTTTTACTAAAGCACATGATACATTTGGTTATCTTATGTTATATAAATAATAGCTCCTATAATGGTGTAACAGTACATTGGATTGATATCGCTAAATTGGAGAGGCGTTCAGCTATTTTAGCCTGCCAAAGACTACAAGGTAGGCATACATATGACGTCATCAACAAAGCATTAACTGCTATTTTTAAGTAATACCACATTCAAAATAAAAATATCTGTACAATAACAGATAATGCTACCAATTTTTCAAATGCATTTCGGTATGCCTAACTAATTTACTTTATATTTTATTTTTCTTAGAATATTTAGCTGCCCATCTTCTTTAATGGAGGAAGATAATGATTCAGATATTGAATACATTTCAATAGAAGATATATTGTCTTTCTCTGGGCTAACCAATTATAATATAAATGACTTCGACTACCTTCCCAGTCATCGAAGATGTTCCTATCACACATTAAACTTAGTGGCAACACAAGATGCCAATAAAATACTTTTAAACAATGAGGATTATAGGAAAGTGTATAAGGTTGCTATATCTAAATGTCAACGTTTGTGGAATAAACAAAACAAATCTGGACCATCAGCTGAGTTAATTAAAAAGAGAATACATTCTCAGCTGCCATATCCCATTGTAACAAGATGAGGTTCTTTTTATACATCTTAATCTAAAATATTATCACTTATAAATAAAATGCCTTTGGATTTTGATTTATTATGTGATGAATTAGTGTAGATTTACATCACAAGATCGTGATTTTATTAAAGAATATTGTAATGTAAATTTAAATTAATGTCTTATAAATAATTTACAATTAAAAAAAATTAGATTATGCAACCAGTAGCCAAAGCTATTGATATATTAGAAGGCGAAAAATATACATATCTAGGTTATTATAACCCAACAATAACACAGATACTTATCTGTCTGGAAAGTGTTGAAAAATTAAAATATTGTCAACCTTTAAAAGATGCTTTAATAGCTAGTATTAAAAAAAGGTAAATTAAATAATTATTTATAAATTAATAATACAATGATATAGGTTTCATGATCTTTATAATAATAACTTAATCGCTGCAATTCTTCATCCATTATTTAAAACTACTTTAATACCTCGCGGTGAGTCTAACACAAATGGCTCATGTTCACAATAAACATCATTAGATGTTGGATTTGATTTAAAACGTCAATATATTATTGATAATGATGAATTTATTGAAAATTTTATTAAATCCAATAACAGCACGTTATCTTTATATGACGATTTTCCTAATTTAAAAATACTCATTAAATATAATGTTGTTATTACATCAAGTGCTCCTGTAGAGCGTTTATTCAGTCTAGGAAAGCTCATCTTTAAAGAGAAACGAGCGCGTCTCCTAGATAAAAATTTTGAAATCCAATTGTTGTTAAAAGCAAATAAACATTTATTAAACTCAAATTTTTATGAAAAATAAATTTTTTTTTTCAATGCAAATATATAGGATGTAAATGTAAATATTCTATTTTCCGATTATTTTTACTTATTTTTTTATATAAATATATTGTATATTTTTTTTAAACAAATGATTATAATTTGTATATCATAATTTTTTTATATTAAATAAATTTGTTCAGTAATTAAATGCGTTATGAATGATGTATAAAGTAACTTATAATGCAACTAGTTATTTTGAAAAATAACTAGTTACATAAAAATGTAACTAGTTATATTTTTGCCAATGTAACTAGTAACTAGTTATATTTCAAAAGTAACTTTAACAACACTAGTAGTAACTAACTAATAAAAATATAAAATTTTAATTTCCATCTCGGCTTACTTCCTGAGATATGATTACTTTAAAAACGTAAAAATTCCAAAATATCTTTAACCCTTCAACGTCCAAATTTTTTTTAATAAGTAAAATGAAAATTTTTTGTTTAAATTTAATTTTATTATGTGCACCTAAATATAAAAATAAAATATTAGGAATAAAAATGTTAACATTATAATAAATATTGTTTAATTGATATATTTTTTTAAATCTTTATTTTTAAATCCAATATTAAAAAGATTACAAAAATATATATTTTTTTAATTATAAGATGAAAATTATACATAACATTTCAATAAAAAAAATTGAATTTGAATAAACCTTGACTATCATTTTTTGTTCCAAGAAAATAAAAGCATGAAACTTTTTTTCCGTGAATTTGCTGTTAAAAATATATTTTCGAAATGTGTTTGCATGCTTAAATATTCAACATTGCTCCCGAATATAAATAATCCCTGGAATTTTGCATAATTACATAAGTCCATAGTTGTTAATATATGATTTTCATAAGGGCGTTGCAGATTTGCTCCAGCTGCTAACTTCTTAATAAAATGCATCCAAAACTTAAGGTAAGAAGTTTTGGCATGTGTAGTTGCGAAAAAGATTTATTCTGCCTTGATCACAAAATCATTATCAAGTAATTAAAGTATTTTTTTGTTTTTATATTAAGAAGAAATAAAAAAAAATTAAAATCTTATCAAATCTTTTTTTTCCAGACTGGAAAACTTTGAGCATGACCTTGAACTATAAAAACTTAGTTCTCTGTAGAGCTTGATATTATTAAAAATTTCTCATCATTTTAATTAAATTTTTATGAGTTAAGGAATTAAAATTGTTGCGAAGAAATAAATTATTAAATTAAATATTCTACAAAATCAAGGGTATATTTTGTTAGCGTTTCGAGCATGGTACGATCTCGCAAGCCATTATATGTGATGTAATCTATGGCATTGATAAACAACTTAAGTCTCTCTTTAAGTTTCGAAGTGCCAAAACAAATTTGTCATTTCTATAAATAACAAGCCCTGGCTAGATCGCAGACTTTATGCAATATTATGCTCTTTTATAAGAGAATGTGGATATTTTGCACTATAATCATTTTAAAATTTTGAAGAAAGGTGCAGCTGCAACATTGCATGTATTCCAGGCCCGCCTGCTAAAATGTTGTTTCTTGATCTTAGGAATGCAAACTTTCTAAAACTAACTTTTATATTATTGTGGTTTTCTTTAAAATGTGTAAATAATTTTTTAATATTACACAAAATAAATCACTTTTGCACTTTCTGCTGGAATTACAATTTTTGCAAGATATAATTATGTCAACTATAATAATTTTGCTATTTAATTTTGTATTTATATTAAAAGATTAAATTTTGATTGATTCATTTTGAAAATATGAGATGATTTTTTGTAGTAAGTAACGAACCGAAATTTTCAAAATAACCGTAACAATGGAAATATGTTTCTGACAATCAGAATATTAATTTGCCAGTAATGGAAAATAAACTACAAAATTTCATCCAACTAGCAAATTGTTGACATAATATCATAAAATTACTATATATTTTGATATTTATGTAAGATTTTAGCCAAATGACCACTATTTAAAGTGCGATAACTCTTGGCCCAGTGCTTATACCAGTCTAGGATTGTACAAATATAATAGAACATAATGTCTATCTTTAAAAAAATTGAAAGAAAAATATATATAATTTTTCTTTTCACAGCTATTTTTTAATTTAATAATAAACTGATTTTCACTATAAAAATTTTTGTGTCCTATTAAGGGGCTGTTATAGAGCTATATAATAAAATTTAAATAATTAAGATTAAAATTAAATGGAGTTTATTTTGAAATTTTTGCTATTTTAAAAATGCCCATATCTCAGAAGATAAGCCTAGTTAGAAATTAAAATTTTATATTTTTTTAGTGACTATCATATTAAATTTTTTAAAATAGAATAGGATCGCATTAAGAATCGATTTTAGCTGATTTAATATGAATACATATATTTTTAAAATTAATTTATAAATGGGTAATTCCATGACAAATCGACCAAAATAATGTGATTTTTGATACTCATTTTTAAGAAACTTGGCATAAAGGTTAAATAGATTGTATATTTTATATAAATCAAAATTTTAAAGCTTTAGCTCAAATATATCTCGAGTTATACCTTCAAAGTTCGATTAGTGCCTTTTAACGAATACCAAATTACTCAAAATATTTTTGGCCTGAAGTAACAAATCATATATGATTTTTTAGCCCTCAAAATTCTCCTTCAAAAAATGCAAAAAATATTTTAAAAATATCTGCAGTGTGGTGGTATTTCCGGTAAAACAAAAAAATATTTTGAGAAGGGCCTAATATGGAAAGATGAAACTCGGTAAATATGTTTATTATCAATATACTTAAATATTTAAGTAAAAATATTAATGGAAAAATAAGATTTTAAATTATATTTAGTTTTTTATAATTTTAGGAATAAAAAAATCAATTATAAAGTGTGTTTGAAACGATGAAACTCATTATATATGGCTATTACCAATATATTTAAATATTAAGTAAAAAAATTAATAAAGAAAATAAGAATTTAGATTTTATTTTATAATTTTAGAAATAAATCAATTATAGAGGGCGTTATTTTTAAAGATAATTATAATATATTTTAAAAATAAAAATATGCATTTTATATTATAAATAAAAATTAATATGTCTATAAAATTATTGTATACACTAAAAAAAATTAAAAATGTGTTTTTTTACCTTAATATATATCAGAGACCTGATAAGGTACCATTTGCACGGCCCGGCCCAGTTTTAAATTTTCTAGGCCCGGCCCGGATATTTCTAAAAAAAATTTTTACGGCCCGGCCCCGATTTAAAAATTCAGGACCGGCTCGGAATTTTTAAAATTATATTCGACCTGGTATATACAAAAATTCACCTATGAGGTATTTTACCATATTTTTCAGCGAGTATTATCGCTTATTATTTAAAAAATACATGTAAAAAGCTAATATTTTGAGAATATTATATTGCATTTATAAAAATTATAAAACTGTTATTTATAAAAATGAATACTTTGAGCATATACTATATTTTATATTGCATTTATAAAAATAAACTAATATTCATAAAAATGGTAATAATATTTTGAGTATATACTATATTTTATATTGCATTTAAAAAAAATAAAACTAATATTTAATTTATAAAAATGGAAAATATTTTGAGAATATAATATATTGTATTTAATTTACTATTTAATTTATAAAATAAAAATAAATCGCTATTTAAAAAAATGCATGTATAATAAATAGTATTTTGAAAATATAATCTAATTGCACAATATTAATATAATTTATTTTATAATATAAATTTTTAACAAAAGAAGATAATTGTATTATATAATATTGTAAAAAAAAATAATGAAAAATGTTGGATTAAAAACTTTCATGTCTCAAGGTAAATATAATAAATGCAATAAATATTTGACAGTTTGCAAAGTAAAAAACCAGCATGATTGACGAAACCCTATACTCAAGAAAGATATTAAAAATTCACAAATTATCATGAAGAAAGAGAAGCATATTTAACTTTTCAGGTTGAAGATTACTTCTTCTTTCTTCAAGAATTCTCGTAGTGGAATCCGCTCACAGCTTGCACTTGAAGCAGGAATTGCCAATTTTGCTAAAATTGGAAATTCGCTTTGAGGAGCCGCCCACCACTCTAACAAATTATCCACCTTAAATGTTTCATCTATTTTTTTATTTATGTAATTATAATATTCATCATCAAGTATTGACATATTACCAGAATTACCATCGCCCCAATTGTCATAAAACGATTCAGTTTGTTTAACAACAGTCGTAATTTGACTGGTCGATGGTATTTCATTTACTTCCTGAGCCTCTTGTAATTTAATATAATCTTTTATATAGTTTTCCGTCATCTTGCGATCTGTCTCTGACTACATACGTATTTGCTTGAATTTGGGACAGAGAAAAAGAGAAATAAAATGATACTTGTGTAAAACAAATTTTTCAATTAAAAAATGCTTTATATTAAGTAAAATCAATTTTATTTCTCCTTTTTCGCTTTGAAAGGTATTACAAACTTCAAGAAGTGATATTCCTTTATATGATTGTTTTGGTAAAATATATACTAAAAATTTATATGAATTATAAAAAATAATATTAATAATACTTGAATATTGTTATTTAAGATATTTCTTTATTTGATTGTTTTGGTAAAATATGTTATAAAAATTTAGATATGAATTATAAAAAAATATATTAATACTTTGAATAAATTTGCAGGAAATTAATAATTAGATCGATCTGTGGGTGTTAGGTAGTGTTAACCATCACCCAATATTATATTAATCATAACTATAATATAATATAATCTTATAACCATTAACTCATAATGTAAAAATTTTTATAAAAAATATTAAGGCCCGGCCCAGGTTTAACAATCTTAGGCCCGGCCCGGATATATTTAAAAAAAAATTTTTTAGGCCCGACCCGGGTATATTTAAAAAATTTAAAATACGGCTCGGCCCTGTTCGGGCCGGGCCTGCAGGTCTCTGATATATATAATTAATTTTATAGCGCCCTCTTAATTTTTTTATTCCCAAAAATATAAAAACAAAATAAAATATAAATTCTTATATTCTTCATTAATATTTTTACCTAAATATTTAAAATATTGGTTATAATAAATATATTTCATTTCGTCGTTTTAAATGGGGTACTTTACAAAAATATTTTTGTGTTTTACCAGTAATATGACAAAGAATTTTTAAAATAATTTTTGCATTTTCTTAAGGATTAAGGGCTACAAATGATATATAATTTGTTACTTTAGACCAAAAAATTTATTATTTTGAGATTCGTTAAAAGAGGAAAAGGCTCTCATCAAACGTTGAAGGCCCATAAGTAGGGATATATTTCAGCTAGGGCAATAAAATTTAAATTTATATAAAATATACAATCTATTTAACCTTAATACCAAGTTTCATCCATTTTTAAAATGGTAACTGATCGATTTGTCATAAAATTACACAAATTCTTCTAAACTCACTTGATACTCAATCTCTTGTTTGCCTTCATCATCTTTACTGCTAGTAGATGGATTCTGTTCCAAATCACCAAAGGACTTTACACTGTTTTGTCCTCTACTTTTATCTAATTCTATTTGTTTCTATGAAAAAAAAAATATAAATAAATTTGTATAAAAGACACATTATTAAACATTTATATTATTTCCTGAATAATTCTTATAATGTATACATGAATATATTTCTCAAAAATTTGGTAAAATATCAGTAAGAAGATGAGTGTATCAAAGATGAAACGATGCCACTTTTTTTGCCAATAGGAAAAAAATTATCTTTTTTTCTTAATTTATTATAGGTTAATATAATTTTTGTATTTTTTTTCTTGAAAATTTTTATTAGCTCCTCAAAGACATATCGTTTTGCATAATTTGTTCAAGGTCAAAGTAAAAAAAATATGGATGTTTATATATGAGCTAACTTTTTATAATATTAAGTTAATTAAAATAAAACATCATCCATAGTATAAAAAATATTTTTCATCTTTTTACTAGTTTTTATCAATTTGTTTAGAAGTCGTAAAGGCTCCACTTTAAATTTATTTTACTCATATAGAATGGCAATAGTATTGTTTATCTAATATTTACTAAAAATCTAAAATATACAATTTTCTTTATGAGGATTTTTAATTAAATTATGGGAAGTTATAGAAAATTTTATAAATAATTTTTTACATTTACTTTTTAAAATAAAAAGTATTGGCTTTACTTTGATACTAGATTTATTATAAATATAATTTTTAATGAGTACAGACACCCACAAAAAAAAAGATAAGTTTTCATGCTTCAACCTTAGATATCTACTATAGTATAAAAACTAGGAGGCCAAAATTTATGAACCTTATATAAATTTTTATAAAAATAAAAAGGTTCTGGCCAATTTGTAATCAATTTGCCATAGAATGACCCAAAAACAAAAATGATTAAGAGATGCATGTTGATGAAAGTAAGGGGATCAAGGTCATGAGGAAGACCTAAGATGATCTAGATAAAAGTGATAACAGATGTTAAGAGGAAGATGCCAACTGCAAAACCCAAAATGAAAAAAAAATGGAGAAGGGAAAACATGGTGGAAATTAGCTTAACTTAAATGGAGAAAAAGAATATATATAGGACTAATAAATTATTTGATTTGCACAGAATTTCTGAATCAAATATGAAAAATCTAATTATTATATCTAATGTATTAAACAATGAGTTATTTTTAAAAGCAAGTGGATGAGGAGGGGTTCCCTCTTTACTGTTTTTACAAATATTATCTTAAGTTAACAAAATTTTCCCTGCTCTCCCCATCCTCAAATTAAAAAGAGAGATAAGTAAAAGTTAAAAATAATTTAAAATTTGTATAAAATATTTTTTAATAAAAAAATGAAAACCCAAAATTATTTATTTTTTAAAATAAAACAGAGGCCAAAGGCTTACTATGTGTGGACCTTAAGTTCTATAAAATTAAAGGAAAATTTTAATCTAGTTCCCACTCCCCTTTTAAAAATTTTTTGTTATATTTATGAATATTTTATATTATTTATAATATCCTAAAAGATACCTGAATCATTTTAATATTAATTTCAGTATCATCAACTTCCATTTTTTCTTTCTTTTTTAATTGATCCAATCTTTTCAAAGTTTCAGGATCTCTATCAATATATGTAATAAACCATCCTTTTTCTGTTTCATCTACTTTACAATAACCTTTGAAAAATATTTTATTAATTCTTAAATTTGTTTTGTAAAATTTATACAAGCAATTAAATAATAGAACAACTTAATATACCATGTTTTCCAAGATATTTAATAAAACCAGTAAGTGTTGTCCATTGAGTTGCATTCATGTGCAAATGAAATCTGTCACTAATAAATTCCTGATAAACAGCATTTGCTTTAACCCTTTTGGTACCAAATCTTCGTTTTAATAGATAAACAAAGCTATCCTTAAACTCTTGACTAAATGTACTAATATATTTATTGGGATTTTCAGCAACCTTTAAAAGAAATTTCATTTATAAACTATTAGATTATCAAATGTATACTAATAGTAGCTGTCTTTGATGACTTTCGGATAATGTATGACATTTAAACCCATTTTCATCCCTGCATTGTTTTTCACACATTTGACAATACCATCTCAATTTCTGCAATCCCTTCGACTTTATCCTGTTAGAAATTGATTTAGGACTAAAAAACCCTAAAAAGTAAGTTTTATATTAAGTTAGCAGAATAAATTATATAACATACCATGCTTTTCTTTGCCCATATCAATTAATATAACAAATAAAAAAGATAGGTGAAATAGGTTTCAAAAAATATTTGAACTTGTAAAAAAGCGTTGGTAACCTTGCTGAATATCGAAAACCTTAACATGCTGCCTATCGCGTTCATCTCCTTAAAAACAAGAAATAAAATATTGATTTTAATTCAGGTATTTATAATTATTTACAATTTAAATTCATTATATATATATTATTACAGATATTTTATCTTAGGAGTGTTAAGCAAAATTTTATGGTCAAGATATGAACGTAATGGGTTAGTTAGAGGAATAGCTTTTTCTAAGATATGCTAAAATATTTGAAAAATATCTTTCGTTTAAATGAAATATCTGTAGATTTGTTTAATTTTAGGATTACTAGTAATTATTGATATTTTATTTTTATCAAGAAAATTTTATTATTGTTAAGGTAGGCAGGGAGTAAGATAATAAATAAAAAAGTTATAAGAATATTTTATTAAAAATTTTTTAACTACTGAATCTAACAAATTTCACACCTATATATATGTTATAAAATTCAATATAACAATTTATTTAATCGGTTAATATAAATAATAATAACAATCAGTTAATAGACCAATATAAGAAACTAATAATTTAATATAATGTAAAATAAAAGGAATAATAAAATCAGTCCGTAAGGTAAATATTAAGCTAAAATAAAAAACAGTCCGTAAAGTAATAACTTTACGGTAAATGGAATATATTAACAATTATTTATTTAATTAATTATTGTTGATTTGTAATTGGCAGATATAGATGTTTTTTCAGTAAATTTTCGAGAAGATAATATGTTACTATTAATTTTTATTGCTAAAAATTGAATCATGTGACATATTTATTGGGAATCTGATATTGATAAGAATTAAAGAATATTGTTTGATAAACATATAAGATATGGGCGCCCTTCTCTTCTAGGGAAAGAAACCTGGTTGCAGCATAAGACAAATAGAGAATAAATAAAAATATACGATCAAGAGCCATAATAAAAATTAAAAATGAAGGGTATTTAGAAAACAAATTAAATTAATTGTTTGTAATGTATAAAATTAAACAGTGGCGACACTAGGGGGGGGGGGCGGCGCCCAGGGGCTCTAGCCCCTCTGAAAAATTTGAATATCCCCCTGAAGCAGATTTTTTTTTAAATGGCTCCTTAATATCCCCTTTAAAAATAAATTTATTGATTGATATCTGAACGATTTCTTTTATAATTCTATTAAGTAAAATATAGGTTTAATTTTATTATTTAAAAATTAATAAGACTATCTAAATATTTATTAAATGAATACTATTTTATATATTAGATTAAATTAATACATATAAATTAAATTTTCACTATGTCAGCTAGCAATCAAATTTTGTATTAAAAATAGATATCAATATCACTCACTAAATATTAATTTAGCATTAACAGACTGACTTTTATTATTTAAATTATTTTATAACCCTAATTAAAAAAATATAATCATTTATTAATTGAAAACTAATAAATTTAATATTATAATTAGCAAAGTTCAAAATGACTAATCAACTGTATATTTATTTTTAAATTTTATATCATACCTATTCCTAATATTTTCAATGTCCAAATAAGTATAATAAAGTAAGTAAGTACACATAAAGTGTATAATCCTCTATTATATATGGTTATTTATAAAATATTATATAAAATGTCACTTTTATAGACGAATTTTCGGTAATAATATATTACGGCTAATATTATAATAAATTTTACTAATAAATGCCTTTGATAATAAATATAGTAACAATATGCTTTCAAGTATTTAACGCCATCTATTTAGTTAAAAATAATTTTAAAAATTAAACACTTCATTATTCATTCTATGTAATAAATTTGATATCTTTTCTTTTGTTTTTTTACGTTATGAAAGCTATTTTTTTCTTTTTCAAAAAACAGTTTTGAGTTAAATTTTTAATACAAATATATTTTTGATATTTTTACAAACTACTATTATTTTAAGATATAATATACCAACACTCTGGCTCTTATTTTAAAGTTACAAAATGTTTCATTTCTAATATGGCATCCTTGCTATGTAAATAACTGGTTAATGATGCTTACTACCAAGTGAATGTATGGACATATTCTAAATACCAACCTAATTTGCTAAATACTGACCAAAATTTATTAAAATGTAATAAGATCATTATTATTTAATATATTAATACGGAATCACGTGGTCGAGTCCGGCCTCCTATATATTATCCCCCCAAGGATGAAACCACCAAGTTAGAATAAGAAAAAAAACATGATCATTCCCTGGATTCGAACCCGGGACCATGGGATATGTAAACCAAGCTCTTGCCTACTAGGCCATAGAGGCTTTCCAAAAATCTCGATTTTCAAATATATATTATAAATATATTTGGTAGTGCCTATCCAAATGAAAAATGAACAAAATTCAAATTTGATAGATGGTACCTTAAGGTACCAAGCATCATTAACCTAAATAACTCAGGATTCAATATATTTGCAAAATTTCTTCTAATTATTTTTAGTGTTTTTATTTTATCAATTTATCTAACATAATAAATTATGATATGAGTTAACATCGTGGGTGTCATGCAGAGGCGTCGCTAGCCTTTGCAATCTCAGGGGGCTCAACTAAAAAAAATTTATGGTTTGTCGGCCTTCGGCCCGCTTTTATAATATATTATACTAAAATTTGCTAACTCTGAATAATTATTCTGAATTTCATATTTTTTCATTTATAATATTATACATACCAAATAAACTAGCATATAAATAATTAAAACAATATAAGACATTTCTAAAAATATTATTTTTTAATACATAATCTATTTATTACAGTATAAATTTCGATTGCTGATATAAATTTTACTTCTAAAGAATTTCAAGAGATAAAAAAGTTTAATTAATTCAACATATGCCTCAATTGATAATGGTTTTTAAAAACTACTTATTATAAAATTAGCAACTTACATTGACAAATGGTCAAGAAAACTAATATAACACTCTGTTACCATTTTTAGACAATGTTTTATAGAATGGACTAATAAGGAAAAATTTATGGGCCTAACCAAATCAACAATTCTTGGAGTAGAGAATATAAAAGACCAATCTAAATAATAAAACTATATGTGGTATAAGCTTCCTCTTAAATGACATGATGGAAGCTAGAGAAGTAATTGAGAAAAAAATTGTAAGATATTAAATTTCTAAAAGATTATCTTACATTTTTAATGGTATATAAACAACTACACAGATCATTATTGCTTATAAAATATGCAATCATCTCCTCTCAGCAGCTGTAATGATAATCTTAAATTACATAGCCACACAAATAATAAATGCTGGTTAATTTGCAGTCATAGCCATGACACTCACTTTATTAACTTATATCAGAATTTATTATGCTAGATAAATTGATAAAACAAAAACACTAAAAATCTTTAGAAGAAATTATGCAAATGTATTGAAGCCTTACTTTACAAGGCAGGGATGCCATATTAGAAATGAAACATTTTGTAACTATAAAATAAGAACCAGAGTTTTATAATATGATAAAAGAAATTAATTAAGATTTTATATATTATTGTCGCACCACCTCTAGCTAGTATATTATATCTGAAAATAGTAATAGTTTGTAGTAATATCAAAAATATACTAGTATTAAATTGAACTCAAAACTGTTTTTCAAATAAGAAAAAAATAACTTTCCTAAAAACACATAAAGAAGAGAAGAAAATTTATCTAATTTATTACACCCATTCTGAGATAAATAATAAGAGGTAAAATATATAAAAAATTTCTAAATATATAGATCGTGTTAAATATTTTTAAGCAATTTATTACTTATATTATCAAAAGCATTTATTAGTAAAATTTATTAAAATATTAACTGTAATATATTATAAACTGTCAAATACGTCTGTAAAAGTGGTATTTAACTTAATCTTTTGTAATCAATTATATCTAATAGAAGATTATAAACTATATGTTTACTTACTTTTTATAAATAAATCTCTTATACTTATTTGGATTTGGACCTTAAAAATAATTTTAAGAAGAGGCATGATAATTAAATTTAAATATCAATAATATAGTTGATTAGTGATTTTGAACTCGGCTAATTAGAATATTAAATTTGTTAATTTTCAATTAATATTTATTTATTAGGGTTATATAATATTACGTTATTATATTCTAATTTTTAATCTTATTATTACTTTTTATAATCCTATTTTATAACTTTACTTTTTATATTTCGTAACCTTACTTTTTATATTTTATAATATTTTACTTTTTGTTTTTCGTTTTTTTAATATTGTATTCTAATTTTGATTTGTAAAAAAAATGTATATATATACCTTAAGAAAAAAAAGAAGAAATATATATAATAAAGTTAATAATAAAAAAATACATTTTTACATACTGGCATGTTTATCATGATTCTTTTCATGGTGCTCCATAATAGGTATAAGAAACTCACCTTATGGAAATTAAAATTTTTTTTAAAAAATAAATTTTTTTTTGGTATAAATGATTAATAAAAAAAATTATTATTAGTTCTATATAAAGGGAGAATTTATAAGGTAAAATCTTTGTGATTTTTTTTTATATCATGTTCGCTTTCAAATTAATTAATATTCCCCATGATATTTCAATTTATGACATTTTGTTTGACTTAACCTACAACTGTGATGTAAATTATTCTAGAATAAGTGGAACGGAAGATGTTCTGTTTGAATTCACTAACTTAAGAGATATGATTGGTTGCTTGAATTGTTGAATGGGAAGCATTATATATATAATGATAATGAATTCATCGAATTAATTTGCATATTCATCAAAATATAAATTGCTAAAATATTAAATGTTATAATTTCTTACATATATGTCTTACCAATAAAAAATGGAAATAAAACAAGAGTTTATACATAAGATTCCTAAGTTAGTGGGACCACTTACTGAAATTTATTTAGATAGAATATTAAATTATTTTTCGACCAGTACATTATCGGACTCTATTAAAATAAATACTTTGCTTAATAATTTATCAGACGAAGTTTTTGACAATATTAAATCAATTTG